CATTTCTAAAGTCCCTTTTAGGGTTTCCAAGACATCTCCGAGTGCTGCTGCTACTCCCCGCTGCTGCTGCGCTGCGGGCTGCTGCTGCAGCTGCCGCAGCTGCTGCAGCACGTTGTCCAGCGGCGACGCGCACTTCAGCTCCCGCTGCGCCCCCCCCTCCTCCTGCTGCTGCTGCTGCTGCTGCTGCTGGCTGTGGTGGCTTTTGTGGCTGTGGTGCTTGTCGTCGTCTTTCTTGCCGGCGTTTGCTGCTGCTGCTGCGCCGTCTGCTGCTGCTTCTGCTGCTGCGCCCTCTGCTGCTGCGTCTCCCTTCAGCAGGTCGTAAAGCTTCTCCAAGTCCTGCAGCGCCCGCTGCTGCTGCTGCTGCTTCTCCCGAAAAGATTCAACTAGCTTCGGGTCCAGCAGCAGCCGCCCTGAGTTCACATCTTCTTCACTTGCTGCTGTTACTACCTGCCGCGCCCGGGGCCCCCGCAGCTTCTGCTGCTCCTTCCCCCGCTGCTGCTGCTGCTGCTGCTGCTGCAAAGAAGCGGACCCCCGCCGCCGCGCTGTGGACGCGGGGGAGCCCGCACCCGGACTCACTCCCGCATCCTGCTGCTGCTGCTGCTGCTGCTGCTCCTGCTGCTGCTTGCGAGGCGTGGCTCCTTTGGAGGAGCGAGGAGACCCTTCTGCTGCTGCTGCTGCTGCGTCTCCAGTCAATGAGTAGGAGCGGCTCAGGAACTTGTCCTTTGTTGCTGCTGCTGGCAGCTCTCGCGACGTCTGCGAGCCTCTGCGGGACCCCGCCGCCTTTTCGTTTGCTGCTGCTGCTGCTGGTGCAGCAGCAGCAGCAGCATCTGAGGGCCCCCCAAACCCATCTTTTGACTGGACGCTGCTGCCCGCCTTCAAAGGAGGCATTGGGGGGGGCCTCTTCTTGGCAGCAGCTTTTGGCTTTTCGCTGTGAGGGGATGCTGCATGCACAGCAGCAACCATGAAGAGGCGCTGCTGCTGCTGCTGCTGCTGCGGCTGCTGCTGCTGCTGCTGCAGCTGCTGCTGC